TGTTGTGGAGCACAGGCTCTAGGTGCGCAGGCTTCAGTAGTTGTGGCATGCAGGCTCAGTAGTTGTTGCACACGGGCTTAATTGCTCCATGGCATGTGGGATCTTCCTGGACCAGGGCTCAAACCTGTGTCCCCTGCATTGGCAGGCAGATTCTTAACCACTGAGCCACCAGGGGAGCCCTATCCATTGAATTTTAATTTCAGTGTTTCTATTTTTAATTTCTAAAATATATCTTTAGGTTCTTTTTGAAGTCACTCTTTTCATTTTTGTTAGTCTCTTATTACTTGTTCAATTTTGTGATTTCATCTATTTTAAAATTTTGTAGATATTCATTTTATATTCTGTATATGATCATTCCAAAACCTAAATCAATAGGACTCTTATCTGTTGTTTTTTCTGCTGACTCTTATTTGTGGTTGCTTATGTCTCTGGTGATTTTTAAAATAATGTATTTAATTTTTAATAACTTAATTTCTAAAATAAATATTTTATATATTTATTTGATCTGAGCATGATCTGCCTCTAAGTGTCTTATTAACTACTTATGCTCTATTGTGGTTTCCTGGGGGGTGTGAGAGGATAAAAATCATGCATATGGGATTAGAGTTGACAGATGTTAAGAGTAACCATTATTCCTTAAGCTTTTTTACATTTCCCAAATTTCCTACCATAAATACATAATACTCTTAAAGCCGGGAAATAATGTTAAAATAACCGTGGAACCAGAATACTTGCCAACCACAGATAAACTCAGCTAGTAAAATTTTATCATACATTATGAGGTAGGATTTTAGGTCACTTCTTAGGAGGCTGTTTATTGAAGATTAAGGTATCTTGTTCTCTGTGACTTTCTATTCCATAACTCTGTCAGTGCAGGGGCTTAAAAGAGAATGCTATTCTCTAGAGATTATTTTTAAATATTGTTTTTAAAATTCTAATATCAGCCAGGGATTTCTACCCATTTGGGACCACTTTAGCTCCCACCTAGATCCCTGACTTAATGCTGGAGTCCTTTCTACTAGACATAGCAGGTCTTTTTTTTTTTTATTAAAATGGATATGAAGGAATGGCTTTGAGTAAGTACAAAATGGTTTATACCTAAGGAAAGGAGACCAAAATGCAAAGAAAAAATCAGGGTAGGGAGGAGAGAATCAAAAAACTATAATTATTCATGGGATTTAATTATAAGAGTTGGAGATAAAAACAGATCTTTAGGCCAACTTGGATACTCTCTCACTACGGATACATTCTCTGGCCTACTGCCTCTTAATCAGTCAAACACAAGACACAGGCAGAAATTTCCAGATAGCCTTTTCTGTCCAAGTGTTCAATCTTTAAGTACTGATCTGGAGTTCAAGGTCGACTTCTGGCAACACTCCCAGAATATGGCAGGTGGGTCCTCCAGGATTTTTGGCATCCTGCAAAGAATGATGGTCAACTCTTGCAGTTTGAAAAATTAGAAAAAAAGGGTGGTGGCTTCCCAGCTTGGCTGGAAAGTTCTGATTCATCCACCGTATTCACTAGACATTGCATCGTTGGATTTCCATTTATTTCGGTCTTCACAGAATTCTCTTAATGGAAATTTTCATTCCCTGTTAGACTGTAAAAGGTACCTGGAACAGTTCTTTGCAGATAAAAAGTTTGGGGAAGATGGAAGTATGAAGTTGCCTGAAAAATGGCAGAAGGTAGTGGAACAAAAGGGTGAATATGTTGTTCAATAAAGTTCTTGGTGAAAATGAAAAATATGTCTTTTACTTTTACTTAAAAACCAAAGGCACTTTTTGGCCAACCCAATAAATGGTGAGGGGGAAGGGAACTGATTTCTCAGTCCCTTACTCTCTGATAGTGATAGGTGCTTTCACATATGTTCTTTCATTTCTTCACAATCTTGTGAGGTAAGTATCATCCCCACTTGCCAGTGAGGAAACTGAAACTCAAGAGTGACTTCCCTAACGTATCAGAGCTTTGAGTGGCAAACCCAGTATTTTGAGGAATTAGTACTACTTCAAGAAGCTTTTTCCAGAATCAACGGAGATGATGTTCACAAATACCTTTTCCAAACTAAAACATGTTAAACAAGTAAGGTACTAAGTATGAGGATGCCATAATAAGTAAAACAAATAGATATCCAGTTTCTATCGTTTGAGCATAATGCCTTGAATAAAGCATCCAGTGGATTAGAGATCATTGATAGGCATTTAAATCTTAATGTTTTACGTTGATGTACCTTTTTCAAAATAGTGAGCATTTAGCTGTTGTATTGGCAGGTGGCTATGTTGAGTCCATATCATTTGTATAATTCAATATTCATAGCGCACAAACACATCACATTGTGACGAAAGAAACGGAAGAACAGCTTCAGGGCTAACAGCACATTTTGGCTTCTGTAAGAAACTTGCTTGCTTGCTTGGGGCGGGAAGAACCGGGTTCCTAATTGGCTGATTCAAAATTAAACAGCTCCCTCCCGCCTTGGGGACTTCCCGCCCTGTGAAGGGTATAAAAGCCTCGCCCGACTGTTATTCGGGGTCTCACTCACTTCTCTCCGAGTGGGACCCTGTCCGGACAGTTTGTGTAAGCTTCTATACTTGTATAAATCCTTTGCTAATCTTTCTGCTTGGTGTTGGTGATTCTCGGGTGTCCTTGGTTGGGACACGGGTCGCATTTACTGGGGAACTCGACTCCAGGCGTGTGGCTCCCGGACCGCAACAACAGGATGTGTTTTGTAACAAAAGACAAAACTAAGGCATGATCCCTGCTCAGCAGGCTTACAGTCTGAAAGGCCTTAAGATACAGGGGATATAACTATAGGGAGAGAAAACTTTCTCTTTAAAAAACATTTTTGCATGAAAATTTCCAAGTCTTTGGTGATAATCAATGAAATGCCTTAATGAAGCAGGTTTTGGAATGGGAATTAAAGAGAAGGTACCCATTTGGATACTGTGAGAGAAGACTGATTTAGTTTCTAGGGTATAATGAACAACTGATTCTCAACTGATGGCAAGAAGATGCTTCCCTGGGTATCAGAATATTTGGGGTTGGAACAAAAAGGCTATGATTTTTCAAAACAAGATGGTACCTTATGCCTTTGATTCAATTTCATTTCGTTTACTTAAAAAATCCAGTTAACACTGAAGGGAATGTAGGTCTTTTTGGTTTCTAAATGGGAGAATGCTTTAAAAAAGTTAAGAGGTACCAAGATGAAGACCAAGAAAAATAAACAGTACAATGTGGTGTTAGAAGAAAATTGGAAAAACGGAAATGAAAGGGAAGAGTCAAAGGTAAAGATCACACAGCAATGGAAGAATTAACAGGATGACTCTGGGTTAGTTAGTTAAGTCAGGTGAGGGGAAGGCTTACTCTGAAATTTGTCCTAGTCGAAACAACTAAAAGATGTAAAGAAGTAATCCAAAGCTCCTAATACAGCAAAAGATAAATTAAAAACAATTCTGATTAAAAAGGAAAAATATACTGTAAAATATTTATTTAATAAATAAGTTTATAATCTATACAGAATTGAATAAAAAGTACAACAAATTATTTTCACTTCTTTACAAAACTGCATACAGTACAACTTGCAAATTGGGTTCAGCATTCTACAAATAGGGCCACACACCAAGATGTAAACTTATTATTGTCTTAAATAAGTAAAGGCTCTAACTGTATACCACAAACTTTGAATTAAATTCTAGGGAAATAATGCTTTAGTATTGATTGTACCACAGTCTATTTTATTTTAAAAAATTAAATAAAATTGCTCAAATACCACTTTTCTACTTGTTTCTGAGTAAACAATTCCCTATGTAGCAAAATAAAACACAACAAAGACAAAATATAAAATTAGAGGCTGCTATTTATGATATCACTTCCTCTTCCCTTACTTAGCTAGTGTTCTTTTCCTTTCCCTTATTCAGAAAGGAAGGTGAGTGGAAAGTGACTTATTCTTATCATTCATTTGCTTCTAGAATTCCTGCTTACATAAATGAATATGTCAGTTTTGGAATCTCGACATTATTATTCAGTGTTTACCTATGTCCTTCTAAAAAAGTTAACCTAGTTTTTTTTTTTTTTTTTAAGATTAGGCAACAAAATTGGCTTCAAAATAGTCATGTCTCAGGCTAGCAGACACTTGGGAGACTAACTTCCCAATTAAATGTGCACAGAATAACATTTTTTTCAAGTAACCTGGAAACGGAATCAATAGCAATTCTTATTTTAAGCAGATATTCAAGATGATCCACCTTTAGAAACAAAGGCAGACTTAATGTACAAAATGCAGGAACTAAGTCTATCCTAGTTCCTGTCCCACCAAAATAATTAATAAGAGGCTCAGTTTGTGAAAAAGACCTTGGAATAATCCAACTCTTAATGACATCTTTATCTTGAATAAGAAGGATAAATAATATAAAAGCTATAAATGGAGATGAAGTTATTTAAAAAAAGACTTTTCCATTTTATTTTGGAGATAAAAGGGAATGCAAATACAAAATGGGTTAGTTGTATCTTTAGCCCATTTAGTAACTTTTCATCATAGAATTAATAGTCCTTCATACTGAAGAATAAAAGACAAGCAAACCTGCCTTAAGTTTTCTGATTAGGTCACTTAGATTTTTAGCAGGCCTCAAAACTTGCCTTATTGTTTAACTAAATTAGCTTCTCTGGGAAGCATATGAGTAATGTAAAAATGAAAAATCCACACAAATACATAATTGTCAAGATGGGAATTGAGAATATTTACACAATGAATTTTTTAAAATAAATTAGAAGTGACACATATTCCTTATAAAACACCAAACCAGAGCACATGTTGTCAGTGATAGGAACAACTTTCTTCTGTAGAAACACAAATGCACATGAATAACACAGAAATAAGAATTAAGTTGAACAGAGGCAGGTGCTGTTAGAACATATTTCTGTTCTGACCTGTAACATCTGTGGCCCCTGTGAAGCCCTGGTCCCACCAGGCCAAGCATCTGGCTAATCTGATACAGAAGTACTTGACCTATGAAACACCAGACTCACTTGCTAGCAACTACACATCACCATGTGCTGCTTGATTGCTCTTGATTACTTGGTTTTCAAAAGCAAGCTCACTTTCAAATCAGAAAAATGTCATCCTTATATTGGCTCTCGTAAATAATCCATGAAGTACACTTCACTTCTGAACAGTATTCTATTACTCTAGGAGGACAAGGTATAGTCAGTTGGCTGCTTTGAAGCCATGAAATGCACACTCATAAATATGTGTCTACACTTTAAAAAATTAAATACATCCAGGCACAGCTGCTGTGCAGAGTTCTTGTGATAAGAAGCTCATTAGCAATGTGTTATGAAGTGGTCACTTGAGAACTTGATTCTGGATCTTCCGGCTTTCTGTATTTCTTCAAAATATTGATTGCACCATTAGACAGGAAAACCACAGCAATGAGTGCAAAATAACCAGCGTAGATGAAGAACTAAAGAGGGGGAAAGAATAATTTATAGAATTATCAATTAGAAGGTAAGCTCTTTTATTATATATATATGTGAACAGACTCTATAATTAAAGGTATATTCAGTTTCTCTATAAAACTTCAAAAAACATTGTGTGCTTAAACAATGTGCCAGGCACTGAGGATACAAAGAGGCAGCACAGCATGGTGATACTGAAGGCTGACTCTTGGGTGCAAATCCCGACTTCCCCCTTACTAGCTGTATGACCTGGATTGATAGACTCAGTCTCTGAGCCTCAACTTCATTTGCAAAACATTTTGTAATTCATAATATTTCCTAATTGCAGAGTTGTTGGGAAAGGATGAGATTATGTATGCAAATGTTTGTTAGCACAATGCTAATGCTGTTAATACTACTGTTTTTATTTTTGTTGCTGTTATAACTAAATCCTGGTCTCTACCCTCAAGCTGATATGATTAACAGGCCAAATTCTGAATATCAAGACTTCTACTCTTGCCCAGAAGAGGGCAGTAGAAGGTCAATTATCAATATATTCCATTATAAGATTACTTTTTATAAGAATCTTCTCTAAGCCAATTTTTTTTTAAATTTTATTTATTTTTTGGCTGTGTTGGATCTTCGTTGCTGCATGCGGGCTTTCTCTAGTTGCAGCAAGTGGGGGCTACTTTTCATTGTGGTACGCAGGCTTCTCATTGCGGTGGCTTCTCTTGTTGCGGAGCACGGGCTCTAGGCACACGGGCTTCAGTAGATGTGGCACGCGGGCTCAGTAGTTGTAGCTCGCGGGCTCTAGAGCACAGGCTCAGTAGTTGTGGCACATGGGCTTAGCTGCTCTGCGGCATGTGGGATCTTCCTGGACCAGGAATTAAACCCGTGTCCCCTGCGTTGGCAGGCGGATTCTTAACTACTGCGACAGAAGGGAAGTCCCTCCGAGCCAATTTTTTAATGTAATGATGTTGTTTATCAACATCATCATCATTTTTCTTCTTAAAATAACTTACTAACTACTGATAAGCTAACTCTCTGAGCCAGGTCCTTTAAAATTCTGATTCATTTTCCTATAGGAAAATCGTTAATTAATCATGGCAGTTACAAGTTTCAGCACAGCCCACAAAATTCTATTATTCCATGCGTTTAAACCTACCACTTCTGTAGCAAGATGACAAGCACCTAGTTACTCTTCTACCCTCCATCCCAAATGAAAGTACCTAACCCTTGAGAGGTCTTCTCAAGGTTTTTATTGCAGGTAGTAACTAGGAAACACTTAAGTAATTCTTACTTAAAAGAAAGTAATACGCTCCCATTCCTCTGGTCTATCCACCCCCTCCCCCATCCTTTTTTGAGGCAGCATGATGCAGTGGGAGATGCCTAAGTTTTAGAGTCAGATGCTGGTTTGAATCCTGGTTCTGCCATACTATTATTGACTGTGACCTTAAACAACACAACATCTCTCAGACTCATTTTCTTGATGTCTAATCCTGATAACAACGCTGCACAATTCTATATAAAGTACCCGGCACATAGAAAGCACTCAATGCACATTACCTATTTCTTTTAGACCTCCTCAGTAAAAACAAAGTTAATTACTGCTAACATGTTAGGCCTTTGTATTCTAAGAAAACTGATATGTAAGGAAGGAAGGAATAATGGAGATGGAATCATTTGGGCCGAGATGAGGTAGGGTAGGCACTTTTTTTTTTTTTTTTTTTTTTTTTAAAGGGATCTTCCCGGCCCGGGGCACAAACCCGCGTCCCCTGCATCAGCAGGCGGACCCCCAACCACTGCGCCACCAGGGAAGCCCCGGGTAGGCACTTTTTTATTCAATTGCCCATTTTGCTGAAGTACAGAACAAGCCCTGCCTACCACTCACAATGCATGAAGGCATATACAACTATACAATTCCTGAGTGAATAAAATTATTCACACTGTCTCTGAGTGTGCAGGTGTTTTCTCAATAGGTCATATGTTAAGAATCATAATGCTGTTCAGCAACAGGAAGTCATTACCTTGGTATTTGGGTGAGGGGTGTTTGAAATAAAGGAGGAGGAGACTTAGAGAGCTTTGAGGTGAAGCATGGCATCTCAAACATGAGATGCAGTATTCCAGGCACAGAATTAAAATTAGAGGGAAATAATGGATGAGGAAGCAGAAGGGCTTGGCCTGGAAGGAACCAATATTACCTCTCAGCTCCACCAGGCTGGTTAATTACACACAGAAATGTTCTAGGGCCTCATCAAAAAGATGATGGTCCCAACATCCTCCTGGTAGAAAAGAACTAAGGATGGGGGATGACTGAAGGAAAGAGAGAACACTTTTCCTTTTTATTTTGTATCTGTCTATATTGTTTGAATTTGTTTCCATGAAGCATGCTCCACTTCTGTTACCCTGATCAACTCATAACATCTTCAGTACCGAAACAGAGATCTTACCTGAGTGGTAATTTCCAAGCCAAGGCCACTGGCATCTACCACAATTAGAGTGAGCACAGTCTGCAGTGCCAGAGCGATGAAGGTATTTACACCAAACACTAGGGCGTAGCGCTCCATGCTGAGGTTTGCAGCAATCTGAAAACTTAAATAATATATAAAAAGAAAGCACACACAAGAATTACTTCCAGGATCGTGTGAAGAGTAGCCCGAACTTTCTACTGTCAATTCCCTTCCCAACCAAGTGAAGAATATTTTGTTGCTAAATGATGTAAACCTCATGTAAACATCTGAAAACAGCAGGAACATTTAAACAAGGAAATAAAGAACCTTGCCTAAATGCTTCCTCAGGAGAAAAACTGGCAATGCGCATATAATGCTTCCTCCCATTTGCCTCTTTTTTTTTTATTTTTTATTTTTTTATTTGCGGTACGCGGGCCTCTCTCACTGTTGTGGCCTCTCCCGTTGCGGAGCACAGGCTCCAGACGCGCAGGCTCAGCGGCCATGGCTCACGGGCCCAGCGGCTCCACGGCATGTGGGATCCTCCCGGACCGGGGCACGAACCCGTGTCCCCTGCATTGGCAGGCGGACTCTCAACCACTGCGCCACCAGGGAAGCCCCCATTTGCCTCTTCTAACCAGAAAGTTTAATTTGTAAAGAAACCAAAAAGCTAATCCTGTCAGCTCTTCCTAATGATTCTTTGAATCAAAATACATACGTTGCTACAGTGATGAGTAACATGTAGATGATTCTGAAGACAACGTAGGATGCGTAGCACACCCAAATGTTACCCACGGTGTCCATGATGTACACTGCAGCAGCAATCAGGAGAGAAAACAGAGACAATGTCAATTCTCCCCAAGTGGACCAGGATATTTTTATGTAACCAACTGCAAACACAGCAACAGCACCTACAAAACAAAAAGAAAATTTGTCATTTTGCTACACAAATACTATTTCAATAAATTAAAATTTCATCTTAGATTATTACATTTTAAGATCTTTTAACTTTTAAACAGGGTAGCTCAAGATTATGGAGGGCCTTGAAAGACAGTCAGAGAATTTTAGACTTGATGGAATAAATAGTATGGAGCCATGGAGAGATGATGAGAGACTGAACTAGGGCAGCTGGTAATGAGAAGGAAAAGGAGGATACAGAGCCAGGGATGCTGCTAAGGAAAAACTACTGAGGCGGACACAGAGGAGAGAATCAAAAAGAACCACTGCTTGTAGCTTGGCAACACGGCAGGTGGCTCATCTCTCTTCCCAACTGAGGGGCAGTTTATTATGTGGTAAAATGATGATGGTGATAACGATAGCTAAAATGTATGGAGTGCTTTCTAAGTGCCAGTCACAGTTTTAAGTGTTTACAGAAATCATATAAAGTTTTCCAAAACCTTCTGAGGTGGGTCAACAAATTAGAAAGGGACAAGAGAATAAAATGGCCAAAGACACAGGCTCTGAGTTCAAACCTCGACTTTACCACTTACCATCTATATCATCTTGGCCAAATGATTAACCTATCTGTCCACAGCTTCCTTAACTGTAAACTGGGGATAATAATTACACCTATCTTAGGAATTCTGTGAGGACTGAGTGAACATACATAAAGTCTTTAGAGCAGCGCTTGGCACATATAAACAATATATTTGCTACTGTTGTTATAAAGTATTGTATAGGTTACTCCAAGTTTTTCAACAAGTGGTGGAAGAACCCAGTAAATCAGAGATAATGGAAACCTAGATAAGAAGACAATTTAGAGGACCATTATATCAGGTTTCCCAAAGGTTAAAAGAATTTAAGTTTGTTAGTCATAGCCTTCCACCTCATGTGCAATTCTAAATTGTCCTCCTAAATTATAAAATCAGAGCTCAAAGTAAGTAATCCATTTTCTGGGGTTACTTCAAACTTGGGAGGGGAGAGAAAATCTGATTATGGCTGACTTCACTACCAGAGGAATCTCCCCCTCGCAAGCTGCCCTACCACCCTGCACTGCTTACCCAGTAAGGTTGAAACAGCCTCCACGCCACCGTTATAGATGGCAGCATGACGAGAAGGCATCACCTGCTCCCACAGGCCCTGTGCATAGTTCACGACTTGAAAATAGCCGCAGGTGGAGAGGGCCCACCACACGGACCAGCAGAGCAGAGGGCGAGAAGAGTAGCACACCAGGAAATCATTCCACAGGACCTTCAGCACAAGGAGACGGTCTGGCTTGGATTCCTACAGAGAAAAAGGGAAGAAGCCAACTGTACAGAAAGCAATTGTATAGACTCAATTTTCTATTCAACAGACTTTTTTCTTGTTCCTTGTGAAAACCAATTGCTTATTTCATATACGTGTGTGTGTGTGTGTGTGTGTGTGTGTGTATAAACTTAGCAATTACATTTATCCCCCTGGGGAAAAAAAACACATTCTTATATAATTTTTGCTTTGAATGCTCTATAAACATTAGTACATCCAGCAAATGATATACTGTTTACAACATGAAGGTAGAAAGATGGTCAGAGATCGCGTACTTCAGCTAAAGGGAGATGACATTCCATATCTCCCCATACAGTGGCAAGCAACATTAAGAATAAGCAATAATTTGGGCTTCCCTGGTGGCGCAGTGGTTAAGAATCCACGTGCCAATGCAGGGGACACGGGTTCAAGCCCTGTTCCGGGAAGATCCCACATGCTGCAGAGCAACTAAGCCTGTGCGCCACAACTACTGAGCCTGCGCTCTAGAGCCCGTGAGCCACAACTAGTGAAGCCCACGCGCCTAGATCCCGTGCTCCGCAACAAGAGAAGCCACTGCAATGAGAAGCCCGCGCACCGCAACGAAGTGTAGCTCCCGCTCACCGCAACTAGAGAAAGCCCACAAGCCCCCAAAAAAAACGCAACCAAAAAAAAAAAAAAAAAAAAGCGCAATAATTAGCAACCCTAGTAAATCACTCTTCAGGTAGAATCCATGAATGAGAACCTATCAGATTCACTGAAAGGTAATGGTTAAGACAGAAATCTTAGAAAGAAATAAATCAAAATATTAGCAGCAGTTCTCTCTGACTGATGGGATAATCAGTGATTTTAATTTTCTTCCTTACACTTTTTCTGTTACCCAGTATTTATGGGAAATATTACTATTACAATGAAGTAATAAAGCTACTATGCATGTAACTGAGTGAATCAAAACATTACTATGTACCATCATCCCTGGACTATGCCAAGAAGTCAATATGAGATTCCAGACATCCTGTGAAATAGCTATCAAAGGTTGCCATAATTCCGGAGCCTCGCTCAGAACATAGGAAATTTTACTTTTGCAACTAACGTGGGAAGGCAAAATGAGAGAATCCAAAGGGACCGGACCAAGAGGAAGCTAACTGTGAATTAGCATATAAGAGCCAGGATGTGTGACAGGGGCCATGTTACAGATTATTAACACCAATGGCAGCAGCATGATTCAACCCGCTTGCTGGCTGGAATGCATATCTTGCACGTGAGAACCTCCAGATGTAAAATGACTACTTCCAGCTGCTGTCAGCCCTTTCTCCTTTATTTTTAGAAACTGAGGTATAATTGACCTTTAACTTTATACTAGTTTTAGGTATATAACATAATGATTTTATATTTGTATACAATGTGAAATGATCACCACAATAAGCCTAGTCAATATCTGTCACCATACAGTTATAATTTTTTTTTCCTGTGATGAGAAGTTTTAAGATCTACTCTCTTAGCAACTTTCAAATATGCAATATGGTATTACTAATTATAGTCACCATGCTGTACATTACATCCCAAAGACTTATTTACAACTGGGAGTTTTACCTTTTGACTCCCCTTTACCCATTTTGCTATCCCCTATCCCCTTCCTCTGGCAACTACCAGTCTGTTCTCTGTATCTATGAGCTTGTGGGTTTTGTTTTGTTTTGTTTTTAGTTTCCACATATAAATGAGATCATGCAATATTTGTCTTTCTCTGTCTGACTTACTTCACTTAGTATAATGCCCTCTAAGTCCATCCACATTGTTGCAAATGGCAAGACTTCATTCGCTTTTCAATGGCTGAATAAACAGTGTTCCAGTGTGTATATAAATGTGTCCGTATACCACATTTTCTTTATCCATTCATCCACTGATGGACCCTTAGGTTGTTTCCATATCTTGGCTATTGTAAATAATGCTTCAGTGAATTGGTGGGTGCCTGTATCTTTTTGAGTTAGTGTTTCCATTTTCTTTGGATATATACCTAGAAGTAGAATTCTTGAATCATGTGGTAGTCTGATTTTTTTTTAATTTATTTATTAAATTTATTTCTTTTTGGCTGCGTCGGGTCTTCATTGCTGCACGAGGGCTTTCCCTAGTTGCGGCGAGCGGGGACTACTCTTCGTTGTGGTGCACAGGCTTCTCATTGTGGTGGCTTCTCTTGTTGCGGAGCATAGGCTCTAGGTGCACAGGCTTCTTTAGTTGTGGCGTGTGGGCTCAGTAGTTGTGGCGCACGGGCTTAGTTGCTCCGTGGCATGAGGGATCTTCCTGGACCTGGGATCAAACCCATGTTCCCTGTACGGGCAGGCCGATTCTTAACCACTGCGCCACCAGGGAAGTCCCTGATTTTTAATTTTTTGAGGAACCTCCACACCGTTTTCCAGTGACTGCAACAATTTACATTCCCACCAATAGTGCACGAGGGTTCACTTTTCTCCACATCCTCACCAATGCTTATTTCTTATCACTTTGATAATAGTCATTCTAACAGGTATGAGGTGATATCTCATTCTGGTTTTGAGTTGCATTCCCCTGATGATTAGTGACATTGAGCATCTTTACATGTACCTGTTGGCCATCTGAATGTCTTCTTGGGAAAAATGTCTATTCAGATCTTCTGCGCATTTTTAAATTGGATTCCTTTTTTGCTATTGAGTTGTATGAGTTCATTTTATAATTTGGATATTAGCCCCTTATCAGACATATGATTTGCAGATATTTTCTCCCATTCAGTAGGTTGCCTTTTCATTTTGTTGATGTTTTTCTTTGTTGTATAGAAGCTTTTTAGTTTGACGTTGTCCCACTTATTTTTGCTCTTGGTGTCAAATTAAAAAACACATTGCCAAGACAGATGTCAAGGAGCTTACCACGTATGTTTTCTTCTAAGGCATTTTATGATTTCAGGTCTTACATTCAAGTCTTTAATCCATTTTACGTTAATTTCTGTGCAGCCCCTTCTCCTTTAAATAGAACCTTTGAATAGATATAGTTAGGTGTTTATAATACCAAGTTAAATGCTACTCTTTTCTTAGCTCAGTTATATGCAGAGGGAGATTTGTCTATTATCAAGCCAATAGCTAGGATGGAAACTTGAGAATAAGTTTGCTTCTTTTATTGTGCTGTTGAAGGACACAATCCTAATTCTTGCTATAAACAATGAACATTTTTTTTCCTGATGAAAGGAAGACTATCATTATTTTCTCAGCTATTGGTATTTCATTACCCAAAACATAGTATAAAAACATATACAATGAGCCTTAACCAATGCGGACAAATATAGTACATCTGGTTTCAAGGAAAAAGAACCAAAATATGTATCATGGAAGAACTGGTGTTTGAGACAGGCTTTGGGAGATAGATAAGATTAGAATAGAGAAACAATTAAGAGAACAATTAAGAGAAACAATTAGAGAAACAATTAAGAACAACATTCAAAGAAAACAAAGAGAACAATTAAGAGCAACAATTAAGAACAACATTCAAAGAAAAGGAAACAAGAACAATAGCACAGAAGAAGGCGCTTTCAAGGTGTACTTAAGAATCTGCAATGATAAAGTTCTCTTCCAACATAAAAGGCTTCTGGGACACTCTGTCCTGCTCTGGCCTGCTGTGCACTTATCTTGTTCCAAGAATACTCATTCTTGCCTTTGCCTGGTATCTCGTAGAGCCCTAGTTCATAAGCCCTAGTTCAGGGGCACTGGAAACCTTTTAAGAGTTGGCACAGAGACCTGCCTTTGGCTACTCTTTTTCAGGGGAGATAATACCTATCTGAGCTTCAAGGGCATTAAGCTGCAAAAGGTAGGGGGTACAGCCATATACGGCTACACACTCTCTCCCCTCCATCCCAACTCAGACATATCCGTTGGCAGGGGCCCAAGTGGAGATATCCAGAGGGGAAGGCTGTGACCACAAATGAGAAAAAAATGGGGAGGGTCAAAAGACAGACTTTGTCCTTCACAAAAGTCTTTCTGATTCTGGCTTTTAGTGCTCAGGGCTAACCTGGTGAGAAAGGCAGAATACGGCCCAACACAAACCTCCCCCCAGTCACTTTCACCATTATGGTTTCAATTCTTTGGATTCTGAAGGCTATTCTGACATGAAAAGAAAGAAAGATCAGTCTTGAATTAACATTGAGTAAAAAACCATAAAGTTATAAACCTACATGTAGGTTATAATTTCATTTACTATAAAATCTGTACAAACAGTGATATTTAGAAAGGGCACTAAAATATTAACAGTGGTTATCTTTGCACCCAGCAGTTCAGATTATTTTGACTTCTTTTTATGTAGTTTTCTGTATTGTTTACTTAAAAAATTAAGTATGAATCTTTTAAATAAAATCAGTAGAGCTCCAGTTCCCTCACCTGTAAAATGGAGACAGTGATACCTATATCAAGGAGTTTTAATAATAGTAGTTTTAATAAGAATGAGATAATGAATATAAGATTTTTGGCACAGTGTCTGGTACCCAGGTCAAAATAAATGGGAGCTGAGATGATGAAATCAGCAGCATACTTGTCTACACTCAGATGAGAAAAATTTCTGAATCTTAGGCTTTTTACAGTAAAATGGAAATTAATGCTTACTTCAACAGGTTATTACAAGAACTAGATAAGCATTATTCAGTATGTAGCAAGTGCTCAATAAATGTCGGTTTCCTTTATATTCTATTTACCATGACTCATTAACATAATCAACAAATAGGTCCTGAGTGCTGTTATTCAACTTTGGACTTCCAGGCCCCATCTGCCTGTTAGCGTTCACTTCTTAGAGTTTCAAGTGCATGCTGTTTGTCCTCTATCTTGCTCCATGAGGCTCTCAAGCCCTCGTAATATGACATTTCACGTGCCACATGTAAAAATTCTAACATTTTGCAGATACTGAACTAAAAATCTATTATTTACATTGACTTCACCATTTTCATTTTCCTGGTGTGTTCATTAGAAAATTCAAAATTAAATATGTGCCTGGCA